TATCTCTGTCTTCCATACTGCATGTGATCCTTGCTAAAGACTAGGCACCTGTTAAATAGTAAAGAAAAATAATACCTGTTGCTTTAGTCTCACTAGTATTAAAACATCTTTCTCTCCCACTTGAAAAAAACCTCAACTCTTAAACTGGGCACGATTGTGCACACCTGCAGTTCTAGCACTCAGGAAGCTGAGGCAGGAGTTGGATGCCAACCTGAACTACAGCCAGATCTTGTCTCAAACAAAATGAAACAAAACACAACATAACTTAGCTCTTGAGCGGAGGATATAGCTCAGTGTTACAGCACTTGCAAAGCACATGTCAGACTCTGGGTTCCATTCCCAGCACTACCAAAAATTTTTTTAAAAAGCTGAGCATTTTTCCCCTTTGAATTTATGGTACCATCTGTTATTTGTAGTGGTTGGTATATAATATTGTTTGTGAAAGAGCTAAAGTCAGCTCTCTTTCACAAACAATATTATAATGATTTTTCTTTTACATTTTAATTGTTCATTGCTCACCAATAGGCAACTTTGTTTTCATGCATCATCTAGGTTTTTTATATAATTTTGTATCTTACTCCTAGGGCCAACTGCTACACATCATTTGTGGTAGGCTATTACATACTCAATACATGAATGTTGAATAGTGTATGTCTTAATGTTAAAAAGATACAGTCATTTCTTTTTTAGAAAAACTTTTCCCTGTTATAAGAAAAAAAAGTCACTTCCATGTTCTACAACATTCTAAAGTCTTCAGTTATTTCAAGAAACATCTATACTAATTTATCGTGAGAAATAAATATTTTGCTACATGTAGCAGTCTCAGAAGTTTTAGAATCCCTGCTAGGCTGGGTTTGGTGACACAAGCCTGTAATCCCAGCACTCTGAGATGCTGAGGCCAGACTGTAAATTCAAATCCAGCCTGGGCAAATCAGTGATTTGGCAAGATCCTGTCTCAAAAATTTAAAAAAAATGGGGCGGGGGATGTGAGGGGTTGGTGGCATAGGGGAATAGGCATGTAGCTCAGTGCAAAGTCCCTGGATTTAATTCCTGGTCCTGCCTCCTCCAAGTTTTTTTTTCTCTGAGACAGGGTCTTTCTATATAGTTCAGGCTGGCTTTGAACTCACAGTAATCCTCCTGCCTCAGTTTCCTGAGTGCTGGGATGATAGACATGCATCACACCTGGTCCCTAAAAGTTTTAGACACTCAAATTAATTCAACAAATGTTTAGTTAGCATTTGTTATACAACAGGCACTGTGCTGGGGAATATATATAAAAAAAGATAACATTATCTCAACCCTCCAAAACTTTCGTCAAACAGGAAAAGTAGATATATGCACAACTGTCATTAGAATATGAGATGACTTATTAAAATGCCAGGAGATACAAAGTGATCTGGGAGCATAAAGATGACAGTCCTCTTTAACAACAGTCTGCAATTGGACAGTGAATTCCATTAAGCATATATGTAGAGGCATGAAAGGGACGTGAAAATGAGTTTCAACATTATGGTTAAAAAAATAGTATGTACTGGGTGGATGGTAAGAGATAAGCCTGAAAAGGTCAGTTGAGGTAAGATTAAGAAAAATGTTGCAAGCCCAGTTTGGAAGTTTAAGACTGGACTCGCTATCTGGGAGGTTCACGTGTGGACCTGTTAGAAATGGAAACTCTTGGTTCCCGCTCCCGAGCTGCAGGATTAGAGGCAAGCCAAGCACGGTGGTGCACACCTGCAATCTCACAAGTCTGGGAGACCATGACAGAGACTGTGTACTTCAGACTGGTCTTGAACTCACTAGGTAGCCCCAGTTGGTCTCAAACTTGAAGCAATCCTCCTACCTCAGCCTCCTGAGTGCTTATTTTGGTTTTTTGAGACAGGATTCTGCTTTGTATTTCAGGCTAGCCTTGGATTCACAAATTTACCTTGTTCCTCCTGCCTCAGCCTCTTCAATACTGAGATTACAGGCCTCCACCATCATGCCTGGCTTATCTGTGTGTGTGTTTTTCACAAGCCCTCTAGGTGAGTCGGATGTATGACTAAGTTTCAGAATCACTGCTGCAGGCAATGGAAAACCTCTGAACAATTTTAAGCAGGAAACTGACCCAATTAAGATTTGAAGTAGCAGAGTGGTTGTCATTGATCAGTCAAGCACAACACCTGACTCCAGAGGAGTTACAATAAAACATAACTTTTGAATGAATATTGCATGAAGAGATGATGAGGGTCTAGCTCTTCAACAGCAAACCTTATAGATCTTTCATTGATAACAAACAGCTCTGGTCTGCATGCCACAGGTTTCTCACTACTGGCCTAGACTAAGGCAGTAGGAATGGGAACCAATTTGAAAAATATTCTACAGGTAACCAAAGTTGGACCTGGTAAGTAGGCTGTATCCTTGCAAAGGTAATGTTGAAATGGTTTTTACATAAAAGAGAGCTATAATCTTGTTGAATCAACCACTGCAAGATTTGAAAGAAGTAGTCTACATAGACCCTACAAAAAGGGAGGTCAAGAGCAATTTCTATGTGTTTCCCTATAATTAAGAGCAAAGGTATCTTAGCTTGTATATGAGCCTTCTGATCTGCTTGGGAGTTTTAATTCTCATTTTAAATTAACAAACAATCATTCATTACTAAAATAAATCTTTCCTGAGTTTGGTGGGTATGGTTCAGTCCTTGAGACTGACGGATAATCTCACAATACACTGACACAGTTAAATTTCAAACCTGGAAAAGTTAGAGCACTGACATTCCTTCTGGTGATCTAACCAAGGAACTTCCAAAGTGAGCCTGTGCTAGCATCTCCCTTTTTTCTAACAACACCACTAAAATCATTTCGCCTACTTAGTTTAGGATGAAGCTGGAACTAGTAAAACAATAGACTTTGTACTATGTTCTAAAGGTCAAGAAAGTCAAGAGGGATTGTTATTTCCAATTTTGGAGCCAGGATTTAGCTGAGGCTATCTTTAGTTTCTTGTACAGCAAGAGAGATACAGGGCAACCTGGATGGATTATTTACCAAATGAGAATTTTTCATGGTGCAATTCCAATTTATCACAACTCTGGACACTTGCATGTTCTTTTAATTGACACCAATTTCTTAATTTTTTTGACCACGTTATTTTGTCCAAAACTAGTTCCCAATCAAAATCTACAGTTTCAGGGAACTTGTAAGCTATAGGGGACCTTGGAAACAAAATCTTCATGTTACAGATGAGGAAATCGAGGGCCACACAGTGTAAGTCACTGAATGCATTTATTGTAGAGCAAGATTCTCTAGCATGCTGCAAGGTAGCAAAATAAGATTCAGAGCAAAACTCATAATTTGCTTCTTTGCTAAGTTTTAGAAAATAATTTAAAATTTTCTTTTTGCCATGTTAAATGTTCTTAAAAACAAAAATAATAGCGAATTACTTTTCTGAGCTAATAAGGAATGGAGTAGACTTGCTTAGACTTGCTTTGTCTTCAGAAAATGAAATTAAATGTAAGAATCCTCTGAAAAAAATTTAAGTATAAAAATTGGGGAAGAAAATGGAAGACATACGCATTACTGTATATGCTATTTGTTCTACTTTCTATCTTCGCCCATTAAGGGGTAACTTTATGTAGTGAATACTGGTCATTATCTTTAATTACATATTACATGTAAAGAGAATCTATCACAGCTACCCTTTACATATTTGAAAATTTTCCAAATATTCTAGTATTCAAGTAAACCTGTTGTTCTGAGAGTCCTAGAAATAGTTCAGAAACTATTTTAAACTCACATTCTATCTGGGTATGTGGTTGTGAACAACTTGAAAGACAATTTGACCCAGTTTCCTGTTTTTCCAAAGTTCCAAACTTTATATTGGTATAAATATATGTGTAATTGAAAAGATAGTGTTCACTTCGTTGTTTTTTAAATATAATATTTTATAGGCAAAGAAATATCAATACTTCGAGGAAGCATGAACAACGTTTCATCATCAAGAATGTATTAAACTCCTCACGTACCTTGCCTGAAATAGTTAAGTAGGCTTCCCCCTTCTGCCTGGAATCTACAGTAAGAACGCAATGCAATGCACGCCAACAGAACTGAACTGCTTTTTACACAAAATCCGAGGGACCCAACTTTTTGAGGTTCACGTCCTCTTATTTTGCTCAAAGGTCAAAAAGGCCTGAAAGCATTTTCAGTTAGATATTTGCCCCTCCCCCCTTGCTCCCCAATATGAGAACCCTTTGATTCTGCTGGGACACAAATGCTACTTCAGTCCCAGAGGACAGATGTCAGTTACTTTCCTCAAGGGGGAAACCACAAAACATTAAGGGCTGGAGCGAGCCACGGAGGGAGGAGAAAACATTCAGTCCAAAGACTTCAGCCCACCTGATTGGGGCACAGCCTTCCCAGCCCTGGTCCTCGCACCGGCCGTCTCCATGTGAAAACCGGTCATGTGAGCCTGTTTACAGCTGGGCAGCTGGTGCAACCATCGGGAGCAGTGCGAAGGTCCAAGGAGGGGGAAGGATACAGGCCACGGCCCCCCATCCCATTCCCCATTTTTCCGAGAGAGCTTTCATTCTCCTCCCCTGCCAAACTACCGCACTTTCATCTCCCTCCAGGCAAAGCTTGCACAGCTAAAGCCATTCCGGGATATCTCGCTCCTGCACCCCCTCCCATTTCCTTCCATTTGATCGCAGGGGGGGCAGGCTGAACTGGAGGAAGGGCCAGGACAGTGTCACCTCGGACAAGGAGTGAACCTCTCTCCTCCAGCCCTCCTCACAAGGTCCACCTAAGAGGTGTCCCTGGAGCCACATCCTCGGAGCAACCGAACTCTGCCGGGCAGCACCCGGAGCTCCCACGCCTGCCCCCGCCGGGGCACAGAGAGCCACCCCACAGCTGGCCAGACGCTGCGGCCGCGAGCCACCAGCGGTGGGGCCGCTGACAGTCGGGGATGGGACAGACAGGAGCCACTCCTGCCTCCCCCACCACCCACCCGCATCCCGGCGCCCCGCTGTCAGTCACCTAGCCGAGCCCGCGTTCTGGGTACGGGTTGTTCCTTCGGCGGAGGCTTTGGGCCACGTAACTTCCACGTTCTGCCGAAGTCGGAGGAAGTGGGGTGACGGGACGCTGGGGGACTCTCACCTCCGCAACACCAGCTCCTCGGAAAGCAGCTGCGAATGTTGCTCAGCTCCTTTGTCAGCGTCTCCAGGCTGCACTGCCTGCTGGGATACAGGAGGACTCAAATGCCACCTCTCCCCGCCCCGAGGATGAGTCGCGGCCGGGTGTGGGTGGGAAGAGAGAGAGGAGGTGGGGCCAGGGTCGGGCCGGGGTGGAGCTTTGGGGCTGCCACCTGGCCTGGACTGTCAGGGTTTCTTCCTTCCTTCTCACTGATGCAAACTTCTTTCTTTCTCAGTCCTCTGACCTATCCTTCCTCTCTGTCCCCCCATTTGGGAAGCTGGAGACCTCGCAGAGAGTCTTCTCGCTGCCCTTGTTAGGCAGTCACTCGCCATTCCTGCCCTGATCCCCGCCCCTCCCCCAGCCTATAGGCACCGAAGGAGGACCAGGGCTAGTTGATTCTGAGACATGTCTTGTTGACCCTTGCTCTTGTTCCACTGCATTCTTTCCCGACTCTGGCTCCCCAGTCTCTATTTAGGTCACGTGACTTTTTTGCTTGGACTACAGCAGTAGCTTCCTGTTTAGACTGACCTCCTAATCTTACCTCTGACCATTGTCCAGACAGCAGACTGAGGACTCTAAAACATAAATGTGGCCCTGTTATTCTGCTTAAAACCTGTCAGTCTCAGCTGTACCTATAATCCTTTAGCATGGTGTATAAGGTCCTCTGCAATCCTTCCCTGATGTATTCAATTCTCTGGTCCAATAAACCAGCCCTCCATGAAAGACAGTAGGGCATGGGTCAATTCACCCAGCATTGGTTGCGCCAAATACTTCTCTAAAGGAGGCTGCATCGTCAGTAACTTCCATAGGCCTCTTGGAATATTATTAAAGATTGACTTTTCAAAGTTAAAATTTAATGATGTTCACAAAACAAGCCACACGCCCCCTCTGTGTAACTATAAGACCTAAAGAATTTTCCCTGCTTACCCCACCCAAGCAATGTGCTGTCAGTAGCTATGCTTCAGATTCAGGCTCTTGATACCTGTGCTCACAGATATTACTTTATAATGTGCTTACCTGGCTTTGGAATCCCCACCTGTCTTTTGATGTCAAATGGAAATAGCATTTGCTCCACTAACCTTCCAGAACTCCTGCTCTGTCACCATAGAACATGGCTTATTCTGCTGTGCAATTCTTCTTGACATAAATAATCACTAGTCATATGTAGGTTTTCCTTTCTCTCCTGCCTAGACTATGCACAACTTAGAACTAGCTCGTAGATCACAACACAATACCTGGTCCAGGAGAGACATTAATACACATGATGAAATAAAATCCATCATCTGCACTACATCAGAGGCCTTAAGTATGCCCAGAAAGGATTCTAGGCAAGGGCTTGTGTAACAACCACCTTCCCTTCACTGTGATGTCTCAATCTGGACCTGGCTGTGTGTCCCTTTTGTAAACACAAACTGGTTAAGCAGCACAGTATTGCAAAAGGACCAAAGCTTGTACTTCCCTTGCAGGTTGGACTGGTTTGTGGTACAATATGTGGTTGTGGAAAATGTAGCTGGGATAGTTCATATGAGAATCCAGTGCAGAAAAAATGTATAGTGCTATAAAAGTAATTGAGTTTCCAAATGCACACGTATCTTCTAGCTTTGGGAGTCTTTGGATTCTTGTCTGCTTTAGGCTGCCTTTGGGTTCCACATCCTTTCAGATCTTGCACATTACCTGTGTTATAAGGTATTCCCTTGAAAAAGAGGGTATTTTGCCATTCTTAGTGGCACATGGCTGGGATCTCAGCTATTCCAGTTGCTTAGGCAAGAGGATCAGAAGTCCAAGACCAACCTGGCAATCTTACTGAGACTGTCTCAAAATAAAATTTAAGGGCTGGCTATTTAGCTCAGCAGCACAGAGCCTGCTTGGCAAGCACAAAGTCCTGAGTTCAATTCCTGGTACCTTCCCAAATAAATAAAATAAAATTTAAAAATTTAAAAAGGATTGAGGATGTAGCTCAGCAATAGAGTGCTTGCCTAGCATACGTGAGACTCTGGGTCCATTTCCCAGTACTCCTATTATAGACAGCTAAGTTAAGTAGAAATATTATAGGTGGTCAGACAGGGCGAGGTCCTCAAGGTAGTCAGTGCAGATCAGAACACATTACAACTGTGGCTGGAGGTGCATCTGAAGAAGACTGAAATCCCAACAGTGAGATTTGCAAACCTCCTTAAGAGATAAATGGAAGTTTGAGATTATTGGTGCCACCCCCTTGAGATTTACCATATAAACAAACCATTATCTCATTAGGAGTGGACCATCCTCTCCAATTCACTGAGACTAAAACTAAAACTACTAAGACTGTAAGTTATTGATCAAGGTTAACATGTCATCCATGGACGCTTGCTATATGACCTGCTTCTCATTGGGTTGGTATTGTGTAAACAGTCACATTATTGATGGATCATAGTTTTCTTTTCTTTTCTTTTTTGAGACAGGGTCTTGCTGTATAGTTCAGGCTGCCCTTGAGCTCACTCTGTAGCCCAGGCTGGCCTCAAACTCACAGTGATCCTCCTGCTTCAGCCTCCCAAGTGCTGGGATTACAGGCCTGCACCACTGCCTGGCTCAATCATAGTTTTGACCCATATTTACCTATGTTATGATCTTGCTTCCTTTGAGAAGTAGGCTTCTTGGCAACAAATTTGGAACTTCTCCTCCTTCCCAGCAGCTATTCCTCTTTTCCATTCTTTTTCTCAATAAATTTTCCTACTCTTAACCTCCTTCTTCGGTGTACTGAACATCTAGCAGGTTGGGAGCTACAGGTACTTCTCCTATATCATTCAAAAGTCCTATATCACCACCACCAAAAAAAGTCAGCGTTTTCCTTTGTTGATTGTTCTTGCATCACTTAGGGTACATTGACTTTCTTTCTAAACTTGTTTGTTTTTGTTTTTGTGCTACTGGAGAGTGAACCTAGGCCTTGTACCTGCTAGATGAGCACTCTAGTAGCGAGCTTTACCCCAGTCTTTTTTACTTTTTAAAAATTTTCAGAGTTTTGCCAAGTTGCCCAGGCTGGCCTTGAACTCACAATCCTCCTGCTTCATTCTCTCCTTTGTAGCTGGGATTATAAGCATCAGCCCCTGAACCTAGTTTACTTTCTCTCCAGGTGTATTACAAGTTATACTACGGCAAGGTTTCCTCATCTCTGCAATAAGGAGAAGAATCCTTGACCTACACTGCTTAGCAGGTTCTTAGGAGGTTTTAACGCAATAATGTATATGAAGTAATGTAAACTATAGGATCCTTTTCAAGCATGAGCTCCACTGTATTACAAATTATGAATTCGAAAATATTCTTGGTGCTGTTTGTGTGTATTAGATTTCATCTGGGTAATCAAGGTATTTAATGAAATTCCTGGTGATAAAGTTTTAGTTCATGGTTTCTCAAATTTGCCTGGGGATAAGAATGACCCAGAGTTCCTCCCCCGTTTTTCGTTTGTTTCCTGAGACAGGGTCTTGCTGTATAGTTTAGGCTGCCCTCCCTGTATAGCCCAGGCTGGTCTGCTTGCAGAGACCCTCCTGCGTTAGCCTCCTGAGTGCCAGGAATGCAGGAGTGCACCACGCTGCCTGGCACTTTTCTTTGTTTTTCTGAGACAAAATCTCCATATGTAGTTCAAACTGGCATTAAACTCATGATGATCTTTGAACGTTGTATTGGGGTTACAGGTGTTTGCCACTACTCCCAACCCTGGAGCCTTTGTTTGGAGATTTTTTTTGAGACAGAGTCTCACTAGTCCAGGCTGGCTTTGAGCTCAATATATAGCCTTGACTGTCCTTGAACTCACTACAGGCACTCCTCTTGCCTCAGCCTCCCAAATGCTGGGAGTATAGATGTGTACCATCAGGCCTGGCCCTGGGGCCCTTGTTAAAAACAAATTCCCAGACCCTGTTGCATTTCAAACCTACTGAGTAGAAATTTCTACAAGAAAAACAAGAAGTTGCACAAGGTGGTGCATACCTATAATCTCAGCACTTTTGGGAGCCTGAGGCAGGAGGATGGCTTCGAGTTTGAGGCCAGTCTGGGGTACACAGTGAATTCAAGGTCTGCCTGTACTACATAGTGAGACCCTGTCTAAAACGAATAAATAAAAGAAAGAAAGACAAGAGCAACAGTACAATTGAGAATGATACCAGGTGAATCACTCTTAGCCAGTGAAGAAAAACTCCACTGTAGCCAGTGATTCACATAACAGAATGAATTCACTTAGGATTCTTTCTGAGAAAAGCCTTTCAGTTAAGGGGTGATCAAAACTGTGGAGCAAAGTTTAGAAGGAGGCTCCAGCAGGGTAGACAAATTGTAGTAAAATTGTGCCTGCAACTAGTAGAGGCAAAATCTTCCTTTGAATTTCCTTTTTCTGGCTCTAAAGTCTTATGAGTCTGGCTCCAGGGGCTGCGTGAATTGTAGCTAATGCTAGTTACCAGCTGAAGTCAAAGTGCTCAATGGAAGTCTTTACTGCCTCAACGTAATTGGCGATATTAAAAAAATTTCTCAGTGGCACGATGGCTTTAACTGCCAAGGCTCCTGTTAGAATCCTCTTTTCAGACGTTTTTCATAGCATACACACTGTGCTGTCATTGTTTTCCTCTGTATCTCTTAGGTGGTGAGGGCTGGAATTGGTCTCATCCACCTTGGCATCCTTGCCTGGGCTTTGCATTGTACCTGATGTATTGCATTGTGCCTAGTACTTCTCTCTTCTCAAGTCTTAGCCCCATGCCATGCAAATGCCATCATTCAGGAGATATTTGCTGAGTAAATGGTCCCCCTTTTGGTCAAACCCCTGTCAGTCACTTCAGAAAAAAAGCAGAGTTCACTAGGTAGTGCTACTATCGTGGGGCTGGGAGTGAACGTCAGCTGAGCTCAGTCTTCTTATAAGTGTACCAATTTTAGCTGAGATCGGTTTGAGAAGCATCTTATGAGGTGAGCAGAGCATGCTGCCTTGTTCTCCCATTAGCTTGAGGCAAGCTTGGGGCAGGAAGATGTGGCAAAACCCAAGATTCATCACCAGCAAGGCTTCATCTACATTTTCATTTGCTGACAGTTTAGACACCCAGTCCATCTAGCCATTTAGTATGAACCTTCATGTTCAGACATGTGGTGTAGCTAGTTCATTTTGGTAGCCTTTGCCTGGATGTCCTCTCCTGTTCATTCTTGCCATAGCTCATTTTGGAAAAATTGAGGAGTACAAATCATAATTGCAGTCATTTGCTGCTAAAGCAAAGAATAGAGATTGTTCTAATTGCC